ACGTGATTCATGAAAGCTCATTTGGGACCAATCAACGCACGTGCGTCTCACGGCAGAAGTTTAGCGGTGCAGATTGAAAGTGTCGTTTATGTGATTAAAGCGTTTCACTAAAGATCCAGCAGACGACCACAGCTGCGGATCAATGGATGGATGAATGAGGGGATGGATAAAGAGCTTCTACTCACCGCAGGTCGAACCTCTAGCTGACAACTCGTCAGCTGCTTCACTGATTTAACGTGTCAGCGACCACGTGACCTCACCTGGTCTCCTATTGGTGGTGATGTCATCGGTGCAGCTGCCTCATCATTGGTCTTTTAAATAAATATATAATATAAAGAATATCAATACAAATGCAACTAAAAATGGATTAATACCGTTTGTATTATTTGTATTTGTATCTTTGTGTTGGTAGGGTCACTTCGGACTCTCATATAAAAGTACACACATATACACTAACGTCCTTTACTTGTTCTACTTTTACAATGTACAGTAACTTTGAACAGTCCCACATCTTCTGTTCAGACTTTAGATATACATTTTATTAGAACTCCACATCCTGTATAATCTGAGTACAGATATTATTGTAAGACATAAAAACATGGTTGGGTTTATGAGTGAAATATCTCAGAACATCTGCTTTTGTACATTCATGATTCCCAAAGTCTCTTATTGACTTCAATGATCCTGAGTTTCCTGCAGCGCCACCATGAGGTCTGTTTTTTACTATTTTATTGTCATGAAATGTGGTTCATTTAGATCCCTTCAGGATGAATTATAAATACTCTGGTGATCCTCACACTTTTCATCAAGCAGCATCATCCGGTCAATATGTTATCATGACAAACACTTAGCAACATGCTAACATGCTAACCTGAGATGGTGAACATTAAACCTGTAAAACATCAGTGATGTAAAAAAAACTGACATCTCACTCTGCTGGGTTTCTCTTCACAGTTTATTCATGCAGCTCTCGTATCTTGAAGTAGTTTTATTTTCTCCACAGGAACAACAACAACAACAGATGCACCGTCGCCGCATCTTCTTGACTTACAAACTGCCATGTTGGCTTCAGTGTATCTGTGAGGACAAACAACCGGCTGCTACAGAAACAGTTCAGTCTGCAGGTACACGGACGCCATGTTGGATCTGAGTCTGTGTTACAGTGTTTAATAAGGACGCCATGTTGGATCTGAGTCTGTGTTACAGTGTTTATTAAGGACGCCATGTTAGATCTAACAATATGTTACTATAGCAACAACTTGGCACCAACATGGCTGACGTGGGCTGCACTGTGGCTGAACTGTGTGTGAGCACTACAATCACTGATGCTAACACTTCCAGGTTAGAAAAACTGTAAAAAATACAAAATGATCATGGTATCAAATGAAGGCTTTACAATTCAAATGCACTGTTAAAAAGGACATCAGAGGACATCAGAGGTCATACAGTAAAAAGGGGGAGGGTGTCTGCAGCTGTGACATCATAGGCTGCCCTCATACTGAGTCAGACCATGGGTGGATTTACAGATGTGGTTTCGTCAAGTCAGAAACCTCCATCATACAAAGCAAGTTTATGGATTGGTAAACTGAGAATATGGATTGGTAAACCTAGCGTGTAGATTGGTTAACAGAGTTTACGGATTGATAAATGTAGTTTATGGATTGGTAAACCATGTTTATGGAGTGATACACTGATAGCAGGCATTGTTTGCAAGCTACCAGTCACTGTGCTTTAAACTAAAAGGTCAGTTTAAAGATCAGAATATTTGGGTCATGCTTTAGACTTAAACAGGTGTGGCTGCCGTCTATTTTTGTGGCAGGGCTGAGGTTGTTGAAGGTACTCGGTTGCTCAGTTTATCAATGTGTGGGCAGGGCCAACAGGAGAAAGCAGAGGACAGCATTTTGGAGTCCAGTTCTTAAAGTACGTCGCTGGTCAGAGCAGCTGTTTGTTTTTGGGGATGTTAGTCTGTTTTAGATATTTGTGGGTGGCAGAGTCATTAGTTTACATCCTGTAGGGGGCGTAGTATTGACGGGATTGCTATTTGAAGGCTACTACTGGATTTATTAGCACCACTTATTGTCAGTTGATGTTTGGAAGTTGACTAAAAGTCTAAAAGTAATTAACTTCATCAGTAACTAAAATATACTTAATCAGTCAATTAAAAGTACAAACATAATGAGTTGGTCCAGACTGGACTATCCCTGCGTTCCAGCTCAATCAGTCCAGAATAAAACGGACCAGTCCTCACCAGGACTGAAAATGTAAATCTACCACAGACTGAATTTACAACAGACCAATACAGATTAATATTATTATATTATTTACGGAAAGAATGGAAGACATTTCTTGATGAAGCCGGCTGATAATAAAAAAACATCTGAGAACAACAAGTCACAGTTATAAGAAAGAAAGCTCTACTAGAGGTAATTTAATATCCAATATGTTGTCTTCAGATGTCTGATGATGAAGTCATGTGATCGCGTCTGTACTGTTAATGAAAGAGCACGAAAGGGATACTACTACGACTACTACTACTACCAGTAGTGTCTTTATCAGACAGCACTGAGAGACAAAGAGAACACGAAGTTTTAGGACAGATGAGATGGAATGATGTTGAGTACACGTGTGAGGCTAAAACCAGTTAAAGTACCATTGCTGTAGGATTTAGCACTAGATGTTGGGTTGTAGTACCATCATTGTAACATTAATTAATACTTCTGTTGAAGTACAATAAGTGTAGGATTTAGTAAATAGTTGTATTGTTTTGTGGTGTTTGTAGTGCAGTAACATTGTTATGGGAGTTAGTACTAGTTATGGTTTGTAGTCCCACTTTTGTAACATCAAGTACTAGTTGTACAATAGTTGTAGGATTCGTAACATTGAAGTAGTATTTGTAGAGTTGTAGTACCATTGTTGTAGGATTTAGCGCTAGTTGTACAGTTTTAGTGTTTACTACTAGCTGTAAGGTAAATGGTTTAGTGTTATTTGAAGTACTATTGTTATTGGGTTTTCTACTAGTTGTGTAGTTATTGTAGGACTTATAGTATTTACAGTGTTGTAGTACCACTGTTGCAGGCATTGTGCAATTTCAAATACCATTATTTCAGGCTTTAGTATTAGTTTTAGGTTGTAAAGCTGAAGCACTTAAGTGCTAGCTGGTAGAAGTACTTTTTGGAGTGTTGTGTTATCGTCACTGTAACATTCAGTACTAGTTCAAGTAAAAGCTATTGTAGGGTTTGGTACTTGCAAGATTGTTGTACTTGTATGGTTGTCGTACCATTGTTTTGTAGGGCAGGGTAAGCAGGGTGTAGTATTTTTAGAGTTTTACTACTGTTTACTACTAGGGATTGGTACTGAGTTGAATTAGTTGAAGTACCTTTGTCTCAGAATTTAGCATTAGTTGGATGGTTGTCGAAGAGTTTGGTTCTATTAGAAGTACAAGTATTGAAATATCTAGTACTAGTTTTCGGGTATATATAACTAATTGTTGAGTTATAGGGTTAAGTACCAGTCAATGCACCATTATTGTAGGATTTAGTATTGCTAGTTACTGTTACTGTTTAGTACTGATTTTAAACTATTCAATACTAGCTGTTGGGTTCAGTAGTTGAAATACTATTGTTATAGGGTGTAGTACTAGTTGTAAGGTCGTTGTAGGGCTTAGTGCTAGCTCAAGTTCTACTGTTATAGGATCTCTAAGTGTTCCGCTGTATCAAGTAGTGAAGGAAAAACTGCAGTGTTTTGTTGGATGAACTCAACGTGACAGCTTGTTTCTACTTGTTTTAAGATAAGGATGTAATGTTGGATCGACCACCAGGCGGCGCCACAATCTTCTGAGCAGAGCGACGAGGTATGTGGTCATCAATCTGAGTTCCTGGGCAGAAGAAGATCTAAATTAGTGAAATTTACAAACCCAGTTGTCAGAAAAAAATACGTTGAAAAGTTGAATGCCAACAATTCTGAACCAAAAATACATTTCCTAAAAGTGGTTTCAAACCAGCCTCGTTTCATGTTGGCAGAAACACACAATGCCACGTTGTTAATGTCGAGAAATAGTTTTTTAGGTTTAAGCAACAAAACTAGTTTGTTATTGGTTAGAAAAAACATCATGGTTTGTGTTAAAATAATGTGTAACAGTCGCACCGTTAGCTAGCGTTAATAAATAACACCCTAAGGGGACAATCTAAAAAATGCTACGTAACAAGTGTAATATCAACGTTTACATTTGGTTTCACACGGTTTCCTTAATGACACTTCCACCACCCTCCCACTTTCTCTGCGTGTCGTTCGTTCATCCACAGAAAGTCTAGAAGAAGTGGACGTAGCCACCGTGGCGTCACCTATTGGTTTGTGGACTGATGTTTTCAAGCCTCAGCATTTTGGCTGTTGCCATCTTGGTTTTTGCCGGTCGCCATACTATTCTTTAGCAACCACAAGTGACACTAGTTGGTGGAGCTAAGTATAACTGAACACTGAATAAGACATTTTTAGGCAACCAAAAGTTAACAATTGACTTTGATGAAGTGAGAACACACTGTGAATGTCAATCACCGTGTAGCCCCGCCCTAAAGCATCCCCTGCTTTATGGTCTGTTTGACTCTAAATGGACCATAATGTACTAAATGAACATCATGCTGTATTGAAGAAGACTTGAAACTAGAGATTGAGACCATGAACTCATGTTTACAATGTTTACTGAGGTAATAAATCAAGAGAGAAGTAGAGTCATTTTCTCATAGACTTCTATACAACCAGAGGAGTCCCCTGGTGGACACTAGAGAGAATGCAGCTTCAACACATGAAGCTTTGGCTTCACTTTAAAGAACCGGAGGTTGTCTCCTGACTGTGTCACTTGCTCTGCCCTAATGCAAAAATGCCCTTATTCAACGTACCTATTTGTGGTGTTTTTCCCTCAACTGTTATCAAACTGTCTTCTTCTTCTTCTTCATCATATTTAACTGCAGTACTCAGCTGTTATATGTATAAACTTGATGTGGTTGAAACTTTTTACCTTGAATGCAACTCAGGGTCAATCACCTATAATTGATCAGATTATAGAAACACATCTGAATACTGCAGATACACATGTGTGTCCTGCGTTCGTGAACACTACCTGCCAGGGTGAATCCTGATTGGTGGAGGTTTCGGAGGCTGGCCTGGGTTTTCGGACAGGTGGGCCCCCTGGTGGTCGGAGTGGGTGGGACCAATTTAGTCATGCTCATGACATCATGAACCGGACCATCGTAGTTTCCACGGGGGACACCGCGAGCCTCAGCCATCTGAAACAAAGAGACCAAACTCCTGAGGAAAAACATATTCTTTATGGATTGATCGGTCAGTTATTAAATTGATCAGTCCATCAGAAATCAACTAGTTCAAATAGTTAACCGACTAGACAGAGGCTGAACCGGTTCGTTGAACCAGTTTGTTGTTGCTTGTTGGCCTCCACCTGTACACAACTTGTTAATCTGACAGTTCTCACTAATTAGCATGCTACAAACTGTGATCCTCTGTCAGAGTTTTAGCCACATACATGTACGAGTAGATCAGCTGGTTAACCAGTAAGTCAGGAGGTTGACCAATTGGTTGGTTGGTTACCTTTCTACAAGAAATGATCCTCTGTCAGACATATTAACCAGTTGGTCAGGCAGTAAACTAGGTAACCAGTTAGTTAGGTAGTTAACTAGTTCACTGGTTAACCTCTGACAGAATTGTAGATAGTTCAGAATCAGCTTAATTTGACTCCGGTTTTCACTTTGCTCTCAACGTACATACACAAGTTTACAATAAACAAGAGAAATATAAAAAAATATAAAACAAGGACAACAAAAAAAGTAGAACAGATGAAAGTATAAACATTTAACATTTAACGACTATGTACAAATAAATATAAATATATATCCAAAAGTATATATATGAACATAAAGATATACAACAAGGACAGTGGAATTGACTGGTTATCCAGTAGGTATGGTAGTTTAGTTGTTAATCAGCCATTTAGGTACCTTGCTGCGGGCTCGGATCCTCTTGTAGACGGTGTCTGGGAAAGCCTTTCTGGGAATGAAGCGTCCTGAACCTTTCGTCACGTTGAGTTTTCCGTCCTCCAGAACGACTCGACCGCCGCTGATCACCACTGACGCCACGCCTTGAAACTCCAAACCCTCCAGGATGTTCACCTCCACCGTCTGCACACAAACAGGCAGTATATTAGAAAGGATGATGAACAGTTTAAAACGATTGACGATGAATTTTGATTCCTGATGATGAAGATTGATGTGTTGTTACCAGGTTATGAGTCTTTGCAGAAACAGTTCGTGTCTCCTTTGGATTCCAAATGACGATGTCAGCATCCGATCCTACAGCGATCCTGCCTGAACACGGGACGGATACACCAGTCTACTGTGTTACAGATGTCTAAATACTCTTTTAAATTTAATCTCATTTAAAGTATTATATTTACATTCATCTTACAGTTTATTCCATCTCATCCTAAGTAAAAAGTGAACGAAACCTATCCTCTTTTATACGGTGTGTTAGTAAAAGTAGAGCAGCAACAGTGTCTTTATCTTCTCCAGAGTGGAATGTTTTCTGACTAATACCTTTGCGTGGGTAAATGTTGAAGAGTTTAGCAGCGTTGGTGCTCGTTACTGCGACAAACTCGTTCTCATCCATCTTCCCCGTGGACTGCAGAGAAAGAATGACAAATGCATCTCCACATTCATATTCCATCATGTTGTCCCAACCTTTGAAGTTGAAACTTTGTGATAGTTCAGAGTTTACATGTATACAGTACAGTACAATACAACATCCTCTACCCTTAGAGCCTTGATTCAGAAAGGGATATTTTATGGAGCATGACGGCATTTTCACGCTCACATCGAACTTACCACAGCTCTATCCCACACCACAGACATCCTCTCCTCAATTCCATTGGTTCCTTCTGGGATCAGAGTGAAGTCATCTTTACCGACTGCTTTCTGAGCTGTGGAGAAGCTCGCCTGAGCGCTGGACGTCACCTGGAGGTCTCCACTGGAAAAGAAACAGTTAGAGTCATAATAACAATGCTAAAAGGGAGGTAGAGTCGTACTAACGAAGCTAAAAGGAAGGTAGAGTCGTACTAACGATGCTAACAGGGAGGTAGAGTCGTACTAACGATGCTAAAAGGGAGGTAGAGTCGTACTAACGATGCTAACAGGGAGGTAGAGTCGTACTAACGATGCTAAAAGGTAGGTAGAGTGTCACAGCTCTGCCACCATTTTCCTGTTTTTTCCATCTCTCACTCACCTAATCAGTTTATTCAGTGCGCCTGCCAGTCACACCCACCTCGTCAGCTCATTACTCTCACCTGCTCACTCTACTGGATCAATATTTATACCCCAGTCACACACGCACTCACTGCCAGATCATTTTCATGTCTACCCGCCTGTTTGGCTCGTCCTGTTCCCGGGTTTCCCTGTCTGCCTGCCCTGCCTCGTCCTGCTGGATTTCCCCCCTCGTCTCTTGCCTCGTCCGTGGATGCCCTGTTATGTTCCTGTAAGTTTTCTGTTCTGTTTTCATTAAATACCTGCTTCACTCTACTTCTGGTCTGGTCTGCATTTGAGTCCTCCACCACACCCCGTGTCATAGAGTCATATTAACGATGCTAACAGGGAGGTAGAGTCGTACTAATGATGCTAAAAGGGAGGTAGAGTCATACTAGCCATACCAACAGAGAGGTAGAGTCGTACTAGCCATACCAACAGAGAGGTAGAGTCGTACTAGCCATACCAACAGAGAGGTAGAGTCGTACTAACGATGCTAACAGGGATATCAGGTACTGTGGAGTTGAAGGATCCTGGTTGAGAGGCGGGCTCATGACAAAGGCAGCAGCTGTGGCCCAGTCTTTTGACCAATAATGAGAACCGTCAGTGGCCAGGCTGGCAGTGATTGGCTCCCCATACACCACGATACCTGAGGACAGAAACATGAGCATGTTTGACCCACAAGCTCTTTGAGTTTGCAGCAAATAGGCGGTTTTCACATTTTTTTACTGGTGGCGGACCTGTTAGGCGGTGCGAACACAGCCTCCACCTTCTTGAAAAGATCATTGTTGCAATATTTGTGGACATCAAAAAACCTGTGGTTATCCGAGTCCGTTATAATGTTTAAAACAGGTGCGTTTCTCCTTCTTTTACTTTGGGCATGCATCCCGACCCCAGCCTTGCAAACTGTTGGCTAGTCGGTGTGTGTGAAACACACAGAGCTGGTCGTAAACAGGCAAGAGGCTGTGTGTCGCAAACTGTTGTAAAAACCCAAGTAAGAAGAACATTTTGAAAGTACTGTATACATGTTGTGACGGCCCAGGGCCTCTGCCAGGGAGTGGTTATCTTTCAGTGTTCCTGGATCGTTAGAGAGGGACATCAGGAAGATTGGAGGCAGCTGGCCACGGCCTTCGCCCTACAAGACCCGCCCCATCCGGAGGAAGAGGTGGCTTCTTCCCCTGACACACCTGGTGTGCTACACGGAGTGTCTGGCAGCAGCAGTTACACCGTCTGGCATTCTGCGAGAATGTTCTTCTGTGTTGCACTTTGAATTGTTCTGACCTTTTGCTAATAAAGGTATTTTCTTTGTTTAGCTCCGTGCCTGAGTTTTCGTGACCTTTTGTTGTGGTTCTAGAGCCGGACCATAACAATGTCCAAAGCATGCTCCTAAAACATAGATAATTGTTTTAATAAAGAATGGTTTGACATTAAAAGCAGACTTCAAAAGGTGTGTTTTAAGTGCTTTTTTGAAGTAAGGGAGCGAATCTAAGGTCCTGATGTGAGTGGGTAGACAGTTCCAGCGGAAGAACCTCTTCCCTTTCAAATGAAAGGGTTGAGTCAAAAATGACTCCAAGGTTGCGGTTTTTGGAAGAAGGGGAGACAGTGGAACCATCGACGTGGAGGGAGAAGCTGTTGGTATGTTTGGTGAGGGATTTGATGATGACTTCAGATTTGCTGCAGTTTCTTGAGGGAATTGGTGCTCATCTACATCATTTAGGCAGTTGGTGATGGTGGATTGGGTGGTGTTGGTGATATATTTAGTAGAGATATAAAGTTAGATGACGTCCGCTAACAGTGAAACTGGAGACCATGCTGACTAACTGTGTGACCAAGAGGGAGGATGTAACTGATGAAGAGGAGGGGACCAAGCCAAAAGGGAACACCTTGTGAACCAAAGGTGAAGTCAGATTTCCAGTTGTTTACACAAATGAAGTGTTGTCTGTCTTAGAGGTGGGATTTGAACCATGAGAGGGCAGTGTCATTTGATACTAAAAGAGGATTCCAGGCAGATGAGGAGGATGAGCCTCACCTATAAACCAAACAGCAGTTCAGAGTATCCAGCCTTCACGGAACTGCTCTGAGCTGCTTAGAGCTGGTGTCAGAAGAACAAAGGAACAAAACCAAAGAACCAGCTGGAGCCCTAGAGCAGTGAAGGAGGCCATCTGAGGAAACAGTCCTCTCAGGTTGGTTGGCCACGGTGATTCCTGAAGCATCAGACAGCTATCAGGAGGTTAAAAAGACTGCAGCTTCTGCGGCCACTGAAGCAAAACTCCGGTAGGAATTCAGAGAGAACTTTTAGTAGTTCTCAAGGTAGTTCTGTTAAATTACGACATGACTCAGGAGGAAGAGGAAGGACTTAGTCCAGACTGTTCTCAGCAGGGAGGAAAACTGTTGACCTGGACTGAAAATGCATTTTTAGGAATTCCTCAACCCAAAAGACTTGTTCTCCATGAAATTTAGCCTGAGATGCTGAAAGCTCTGGATATCGTTGGACCGTCTTGGTAGACTTTGTCTCGTGGAACAGTAAATGTGGACTGGCAGAGCGGATCAGTGTTTGCATCAGAACAGTCCTTCTAAATGAAATGTACAGTTAAATCTGAACCTGATGTGGATCGAGAGGTGTAAAAAAACACATGAGAATGAAGATCTCACCTTTCTTCCTGGCTTTAGCGATGACATCAGCAGCAGATTTGCTCATCACCTTGGTAACATATAGCGGACAGTTGGCCTGTTTAGCGATGGTGACAGCTCGATACACAGCTTCAGTCTCCACCTGAAACACATTACAACACACACACTCATCAGTAATACACATGTCTCACTGGCCCTGACACCACCTGGTGGACGTTTGTATGAGGATGTTTTTATAGTGTGTTACAGGCATGATTACAGAAGTAATGACAGGTGTGTTACAGGTTTGTGTACCTCCTCAGGGTGTGATAAAATGTGTCCTTCAGGTCCAGTGATGCCGAGAAAGAGAAGTTTCTTCTGTTCCTGAAACAAAAAACAGTTTAAATTCATGGTAAAAATATGAACAACAATGAACCTTCAGCTGATTTTTATCCCTGAATTCATTCATTTTGCTTGATTGTACTTGACTTTACTCAGGTGTATTACCTCATCAATGATGTCACCATTCTCAGCGTGGACCTGTGCGATGGCCCCAAGATCCCGGAGGACCCCAAATGCCTCATAGAGCTAAAACCCAAAAACAAGAAGCAGATTCATTCAAATGAAGACATTGACATAAACTAACCATAACCAAGCTTAGCAACAACAACTACAAACAAACAACAAGCAACACTAATAGTTCAACTGTAGTTCACCTGAGAGTCGGAGCTCTGGTATTTGTCTTTGTAAGCCATGAAGAAAAGGACGGAGTTCACACCTGAAACACCAATATTACAATTAAGTTCACACCTCCATCTCTTCCCTGTTTAAACCCACATGTTTCAGATGTTTTCAGACATTCTAATATCTTGATATAATATCTGACCGTAATCCAGAAATCATAGAACTGTAGTTACAATATGTAAATCAGTTTATGGTGCCATCAGTCATTAAGGTTCAACCAAGGCCTGCTTCCATAGGTGTCTTCTTTCAAAAGCAGGCTTTTAGTTAGGTCTAAATTATGTGGGCTGAAGGTCTTATTTATAATCACTTTTTATGATTGATCTTTAGGGTCTTTAGTGACTTTAGTATCTTTAGAGTCTTTAGTATCTTTAGGATCTTTATTTTCTGTAGGGTCTTTAGTATCTTTAGGGTCTTTAGTATCTTTAGGATCTTTATTTTCTGTAGGGTCTTTAGTATCTTTAGGGTCTTTAGTATCTTTATTATCTGTAGGGTCTTTAGTGACTTTAGTGACTTTAGTATCTTTAGGATCTTTATTATCTGTAGGGTCTTTAGTGACTTTAAGGTCTTTAGTATCTTTAGGGTCTTTAGTATCTTTAGAGTCTTTAGTATCTTCAGGATCTTTATTATCTGTAGGGAGTTTACTATCTTTAGGGTCTTTCGAATCTTTAGGGTCCTTCGTGACTTTAGGGTCTTTAGTGACTTTCATGTCATTTGAGTCTGAAAGTTGAAATCTCAAAGATTTTTATTTAAATAAATGTCTCACTATCTTTCTTTGAGTAGTATGGCTAGGGTTAGTAGCAACAAGGTGATTGAAACTGTTGCTCTCTGATGAAAGTATTGTAATATTTATGTATAAGCAGTATAATGAACATGGTGTCTGTGGTGACAGTACTGGAAATAAATGTTGTATTACAGTTTTTCTCCTTTGTATACACAAATCAATGGAACTATAAAATGGAACTGATTAAGTCTGAATTCCTTTGTTTTCACTCAAACAGAAATGTTGTATCAACCAAGAAATGTGAAGGATTAGTTCTTCAGGGGTCTTTCTTCAGACCTTGATCTTTGATGAGCGTCTCCAACTCCTCGCACAGTCCTTCATGCCAGCGAGTGATGTCCAGGTGTAGGGAGAAGTCGCAGCACACCCTCTGCTCCGCCGTCTCCCTCCACTGATCGAACGCTGTCAATAAACTAGCCCCCGGCTCCACCAGCACATGGTCCACTGTAAACACAACCATCACTGTTATTACTTCTTTATGTGCCTGAGGCGAGACTGATGAGTATTGATAGGTAATTGGTGATAATCTGACTGATGGTGGTGGTTCCTCCGGACAAGGCAGCTCTGGTTCCCTGGTAGAAGTCGTCGGCCGGGTTCATGCCTCTTTGCGGAGCGTTCAGGTTGGTGTTGGCATCGACTCCTCCGGGGATCACCAGCTGACCGTACGCATCCACCGTCTTCACGCCGGTCGGGACGATCAGGTTCTCCCCAATCTGTCTGATCAGGACGAAGGAAAGGAAGTCTAATGATGTCAGAGACAGGAAGAGGCGCCTGGAGGTCAGGTGGACTCCAACTAGACCACTGAAAACCAGCACTGTCAGCAAAAAGCATGAATGACTGTGAGACCATAATTTATAAATATCAAATTTATTTACCTGATGGTCCCATCCTCTACGTAGACGTCAGCGTAGAACGACTGGTCGTCATTGACTATCTTTCCTCCTTTGATAATCAGACGGTCGCCCTGGAAACAGAGAGTGGTTGCTGGGTAAAACATTCTCACCTGACTATCAAAAACACAAAACAGACATCTATAATATATAATATGAAGTTATCTGATGATCACGTTACATATATATCATATTATATACTGTATATATATATATATATAACGGAGATATAATATATATATATATCTCATGTATATATATTATATCTCCGTTATATATATATATATATATATT